AATACAAGAATAACAGGGTCCTATTCATTATGGACAAAAAAACCTACATTGAATCTCCAATGTATGTTGAGATCTTTATCTACTTTTCTAAAAGAAAAGGAAAAGGAAAAGGAAAAGGAAAAGGAAAAGGAAAAGGAAAAGGAAAAGGAAAAGAAAAAGGAAAAGGAAAAGGAAAAGGAAAAGGAAAAGGAAAAGGAAAAGGAAAAGGAAAAGGAAAAGGAGAGGACACAACTAAACAAACAAACAAAAAAACACCTGCATTTTCTTTCTGCACCTCTTTTTAAAAATGTGGGTGATACTTTGGTTGACTCTTCAGACAATAAAACACAAAGCAAAAGGAGGACAGTTGGATTTTATGACTACGGTTTCTGATAAGAGATTTCTGAAATATTAAAGTATGTTTAACCACTACAGATTAATACATCCTTTAAGAACATCATCAATGTTTAACTACCCCTTGTCTGAACCACACACATATGTTCAATTGCATAAACAAAATGAAACAAAAAAAAACACAAAACCTTTTACCAAAAATTAAGCACAAGTCATTCTGTTTGAAAATTCATGCTCCTGCTTTGTAATGCAATCTTTGTGAGTCTGGGAGCATACAGCAGACTATGAACTCCACAAAGAGGTGATTGATGATTTTGGACTAATTCTGGAATCTGGTCAATCCATTCTTGAAAAATAGTCCTACACCTACACTGGTGTAATGACTTGCAAGAAATTCCCCAGTAAATCTTACAGGTTGGAAACTGTAGAAATATCACATTTGTCCTTGGTATTGATCATCAAAATGCCAGCCCTCTCTCTGTTTTTTTTCATCCACACTTAAAATTAATTGATTAAGAAATAAATTATTGCATGGAATTAATTTCTAAGGTGTGTTTGAGGTCTAGAAGACCCTCCGTTTCAGCCTACCCTTTCCAAAATATCCACAGACTCATGTTTAACAGTCAGTAAGTTGCTACTGACAAAGCTGTTGTCACATCCAGTTTGCAATCTTTCCAACAAAGAGGGTCTCTCCCCACACAGGACAGTTGCTCCTCGTTCTGCAAGGTTCTCAAGCCATAGTAACTCCCCGGTGAATATGGGTTGCTCTGAAGATCTGGAGCAACCTCCCAGGAGGCACTGTCTTATATATGTTCCAGCAAACAGCTGAGTGGTACCACACAGTTCCTGTTCCCAGTCTGTCACATCAGCAGAGACACTGAGGGCACAACAGACACTGTCTGACAGAGACGGAAAGTGCGAAACCACAGAAAGAGAGTTGGGAGTCAAAAACCAAAGGTATGCTAGGGTAGAAGGTTCACAGCAATTTCGTCATATTATTTTGCAAGAACTTTACTCAAAGTAACCCAAACAGATGATAAAAAAAATATAAATGCTTCCTTGTATTCATGAAATTACTTTGTCCCAGGGAACGCAGTAGTGCTTTCCATGGTATGAAGGTACTCCAAATTAAAAGAAAAACAGTTCAAGCTCTAAAGAAGAGCAGTGGCAAGCAGGAAGCAAAACTGTCACTGCTCACACTCACTGCTCAGTGCTGCTCAAATGTGTCACAACACAGCTGCAGGAAAGCAAGTGTTTCCACACTGTGTTGTTTGGTGCAGAATAGCTCTTAAAGGAAACATAAAACATAGGGAGAATGGTCCTTTTTCTATAGTCACATAAGAAAACTGTTTTATTTGGAAACATGACTGGTCATGTTTAAATTCTCTAAATGTTTCTTGTTTAAATGTTAGCGAGCTGCTTACCTTGTGAACAAACATGACATAAGGCTCATACAGCAGCTACTTATTTCATTTTACAAAGAATACAGCTTGTTTTGTATTTTTTCTCTTTTGATTCTGCTAGTTATATTGCCCCTATTGATTGTAAATAGTTGTTGGAGATGGGTCTTTTCCAGTCCATATATTTCATCTTACAGATTGGGACAATGAATTGGCCTGTTACAAAGAACTAAGTGAGGATCTAACCTGTACCTGGCTGCCGGCACCCAGTGCTCCAAATAGTATTAATTACACCTTATTTTTAAAATGGTAAGTCTAAAAGTCACTTCAGAAAATGAATAGTTATCATTGCTGTCTGGTCATTCCTACCTGCTTAAATTTTTTTCATACATATTTAATCACATTGTAGGTTGTTACACAATACTGATCAAGCCTTTCAATTTCAATTCTTACTGACTTAATAAGAGCTGCACATTTCAAACTGCAGGGAGAGTGACACTGGCAGCACACACGATACTAAGCAGACATTTCTGTTTGCTTTATAATCAATGCAGAAACAGCTGGAATTTGTGCTTGAACAGATCTACAGAAAAGTCTGAAATAGGTGCATAGAGTCAACAACCATTTGTCTAATCTGAAGAACAGTGATGTACCATTTTCTAATTTCTTGAGGAGTGCCCAGAAAACTATTCAGGATTGGACTGAGAGGACCTCAGTTGTAGCAACTGTACTTACTCATTTTTTCCACTGATTCATTAAATGCTGAGCAAGCTAAAACCTCCACCCTCCCTCCCAGTTTTAAGGAAAAGATAACAGAACAAACATGTAGGTTAGTAACCATATTTCAGAGATGTGACATTAGCTCTTCCAATCACTAATTGTCTTCACTATCCACTGAGAACATGGAAATGATACCACAGCTACCTCCCTCCACCCAATAAACAATGTTTTATCCAATAAATAACTTCTTCTTTCTGCAATTTGCTAGTCATTAGTCACCTTTCCATGCACCAAAAACCTCTGTTTGAAACTTAATTTCCAAAGACCATTTAATTAATTACTTTTGTCTAGTGACTTGCAGCAAATATTCAACACTAATGCATTCTAAGTTTCAAAGATTGAGTTTCATTATGCAATATTATTATGTTAAACCAGATAACCAATGAAATGCTGGATATGCTACATTAAAGAAAATAAAATAGATTCTGAAGTATCTTACTGCAGTTGCAAATTAGCGAGTTTAATAGGTGAAATTAAATTGTAGAGGTTAATAACAAAATACGTCTATCTTCAGTTGCTTCATTTTTTTAAGAGAGCTAAAGCAAAGAAATGAGGTAAAATGCAGATGTGAAGATTAAATCAACATCTGCCCACTGGACTGTTAATGTTGCTGCCTCCGTATCTTCATTACGAAAGAGATTTTCCTCACTTTACCTCTTTGTATTTTGGATTTGCCATGAGATTAAGGGCAAGAGTATTTGTAATGTAGTTGCTCTTTGTATGTCCAGTCAAAATCAGAGTGTATTATTGGTAAATTGCAGAGTTGATGCTATGAACAGAAAAGGCAGTAAAAAGGGAAAGAGATGGTAGGATAGGAGAGATGCAATTGTCTCACAGAGATACAAGTTTTCCCAATCTAGAGTCAGAATTTGAATCTCAGCCTCCTAGGCTTCAGCCTGATAATCCTAAAGAAAAACTTTCTTCTCCCTTTTTATTGTTTTGGAAGGAAAATAATAAGCATTCAAAGGATTTTTTTCCTGCTTGCCTAGAAGATGACATCACTCCGTCTGCAAGCAATGTTAGATTAGCACTGAAATTTTTTCTTTTCTTTGCACTTTACAATTTAATTGTCAGAAAGAAAAGTATTAAAGAATAACACTCTCACAGAGATGTTCAAATCAAGCATTCAAAATCATAGTTTGAAATATTAATGGCTGATTCACAACTAGTCTGAAGCAAAAGACAAGGGAAGCTTCCAGGAGTTTTGTTCTATTATAAAATATTCTATCATGATCAGCACATTTAATACTTGAAGTATCTAATTAGTATGTAATTAGTATGCTTATTCACTTCTTTTTAAGAATATTGGATTAGAACAGCTTTAGCCTTGGAAAATATGTTTTGTACACATCAGAGAGCAAATGGCAGAGCAGGATCTGGGGGGATGTCCAAACAGAACAAGAACAATCTTCCATTTAATGCCTGAAAACTGAATGTGAGAAAACACACACACACAAAAGTTAAATCTTATTTCCCTAAGTCCTGCTTTTCTTTGCACATTCTTTGCATTCACATGTACTCCCAAATCCTACATACTCAGGACCACATTTCTGCAGCAACTGCTTACATGAAGAACACCTTGCAGAACTTAAGCTTTCACTACAGATCAAAGGAAAAGGCTAAAACTTCAGTTGGCTTCCATAAGGTTGCCTCTTAAAAGGGAATTCTGGGACAGTGTACATTGACTGCCTCCTGCACTTGCTCTTCTTCCTGCTGTTAACTGCTTTGAGCAATGGTATTGGATGAGATGATTTCCATACATCCAGTTCAACCTCAGCTATTTTGAGAGTCAGTGAACTGTGGAATCCTGTCTGCATTAAATGGCTTGAGACGTAGCAAAACAAACTGCCTAAATGGCTCCAAGAACTCCTGGACAGTCAATACACGTTATGGCCACTGAATTTTTTTTAATTTATAATACAAACTTGGCCAGCTGTTAGCCTGATTGAGAATCAAGGTTGTACAACGTATGTTTCCATTATCCAGCCTGAAGCATATAGCAATTATGAAAATCACTTTTATATAAAAGCTTTACTGTACAGTCGCATCAGTTGAAGGCACTTTTTATCTTGCAAATATACTCTTTAGATGGTAGACCTGCCCTATTAACTTACTTTTACCATGACAGCTTCAACTCTCACACATCTAACAGTACCTTCTAAAAGCTGCTTATGTCCCATTTTAATCTTAAAGAAAACTATACAGATCTTTGTCTTTTATCACACTGTGCCTCATAAATGTAAAGAATTTAGCAGTTCTCCAGTACACAGCATGTATTTGCAGGTTAAGCTAGGATTGCTAGGATACTGGAATTACATTTGCTGTTTCAAGCTGCTCAGTCCTCACTTTCAAGTTTTCAAAATGATGACTTTGTTTATGAGTACCTGGAAAGCTAGGAGTTGTTATAATGATGCTTATGAGGAAAAAAAAGTGTATGATAAACCAGCAAAAAGTTTGGCTTTCATTCTTATTCCTCTTCTCTGAAGGGAGAGAATCACAAAGCTTTTTAGAAGAAACACTTCATCACCTTCCATCACAATAGAACGAAAAAATCTCTTCATGAACCGTTCTGCATCTATCTGGATAGCAGTGAACTATGCTCATGCCAGCTGTGTGAAAGGAAAGAACATCTCAGTTACACCAAGAAAAGCAGGTATTATATCTTCATGATCTGTATTACTGCAGTGTCCTGCTGAAGCAATGGTATGATTTTCTTCAAAATTATTTTCAAAATGTTATCTCCTGCCATACACTTATCCTTTTCACTGATTCAGAGACTGCAGTTTGGCCTTCCTTATTGGCTTCTTCATGAAATCTTTATTGAAGTCCATAGTGGCAGTCCATCCATTTTTATGATATCAGGACTTTAAATCTGATTTTTTTTGCTGAACTATAAAATACTATACCCAAAAAAACTATATAGTGACATTTGGATACCATACTTCACCAACTTCCTCTATTTCTGATGGTTTTTGTAACTTCTTTATCATAGAATCATAGAATTGCTCAGATTGGAAAAGATATTCATCATCAGCAAGTCCAACCGTAACCTAACCATAGTACCCTAACCTTAATAACTCTCCACTAAAATGTGAGGAGTCACATATTTACAAAGAACAGGCTGATACCGTATCATACATTCAAGGAATTTTTTCTACAGACAATTCACATTTTGGGAAAACTTCAAATTTCAGCTATTTTTTAAGGCCAGTTACCTATTACACAGTACTACAAGGGGCATGTGAAAAAAATTAATCCTGCACTGCAGATGCCTATTCACAGATTCTCAACTGAGTTAACATCAAGATATTCTGAAATCCTAAACTTCCCAGAGTAACTATTTTTTTAATTTTAATTAAGTTTCAAAAGTGCTTCTCATTGCTGAAAGGCACTATCAGTAAAACCCAAATTACCACTATGACTCCTTGGGAGATTTTCAGAGAGAAAACTGTCCATTTGGATTAAAAATTACATAGATAAACACAGTTGCTGAAATTGGAAGCTTTTCTACAGTTCACAATTAGAAGTACTCCTGATGTTTTGATTTTGCCTTTCAGACTCACTGAGCACCTGTTTAAAGAAAGGATTTTACTGATATCAGAAGTAGCATTCACAAAAGAATTACACACACAAACCCAAATTTGTTGATACTATAAAGATTTAGTAAATACTTATTTCCAATTTTTCTCAGTCTCATACTGTTTGATGTTCTCAGCCAACTCCTCCATTTTTGGTAAAACACACCCAATTGACACATGATATCCAAAGCTTTCCTGCTTCCCCTGTACTGATGTCATCTGTTCCCAATTGCAGGGAAGTGTTTGACACCATCTAACATAGAAGCTCATCAGATCACAAAGCAATTGGTCATAAAATGGAACTTACCTACAACTCCTACAGAATACGAGTTGAGATACAGAGAGGCACTGACAGAAGCCACTCAGTGGACAAAGGTAAGTATTTCCATATGCCTCTTGAGAACATGAGGAGGTTCATTTTCAGCTCGGTAGTACATAGCACATACAGCTACATGGCAGGATATAAACAGGACATTGTTGTAGCACACAAAATCATGGATAGCAAGAGAACACAGCGCATGACTTGCTGGCAAATCTCACAGTATTCTCTTAGTTACCTGCCAATAGATTCTGAACTGTTTGAAAGAGAAAAATTAGTAGTTTTATGCTGAAAAAAAAGAAAACCAATATCACTATGTCATATGGTTCATTAACTTGTCAATAAGACATACCAACTGAGGAAAAGCTGAAGATCTAGAAAGGGTATCAGAAATGATAGCCAGATCTGATTACACTTTAATTAAAAGACTATATTACTTTCTTTACTATTATCATTAGAGACCAGGTTGCTGTAATACTGTTCTTCAGAATGCCAGTAAAGATCAAAGTCAAATAAGTGATAATTTTTCAATGTATGTAACATGGAATCCATTTTTAAGAGGGGGTTAACCTGCACTACTGCTTACATGTCCTGATAGAACATAATTAGTTGAAAAAGGGAGTATCATCTTTCAAGTATCAAATAAAAATTACTAATATATACAGTAATTCTTCATTGATGATGGCAACTGCTACTTTTGGTCAGAACTTTTGTTTTTTGATTGAGAAAAACATTAATATAAGATTGTCTTATTGCAAACATCATTTGCTTTTAGGTGCCCATAGAAACCAATGCTGTTAACATCACTGTTTCAAATGCTACATCTTCATATATCATTCAGCTCAGATGTATAACCAAGGATGGTCTTCATTGTGTTTGCATTTGGAGTAAAGAGATTTTGGTCCCTCACAGTAAGTTAATTTCCTGGGAACAAGCGTAAGTGGAAAAACCTTTTTCCAATTTTATAATGTATGAACATTGTCAAATACTGTTGAAAATATTAAGACCGACCTGATTTCTGTGAGTGTGCATCTCTATCTTTTCCCATGTTTACCAGAGCTCATGAACAAGCCAAGAATATCATATAATGCAACTACAGAAATATCATCAGGCAGAAGAAGTGTTCTTCTTAAGTGGGAGGTAATTTTCTCTCATTATGTTATAACCATACCATTAATTCATTACTTTATAGAGGAAGAATAGACTTTCTCATTGTATGAGGACTACAGTGTACAAGAAAAAGGTATTGAATACTGAACTTGTGCTCTAGGATTCACTGCATTTGTATGGTGGTAAATCAGGTTCCAGAAATTAGCAAGGAAAAGGCACAATAATTTATAAACTACTTACATTTATAGTAACCTCCAGGCTCAAATCACTGACTATAATAAAGATTCTTTCCAATTAGCAGTAAACACTGGTGAATCTCAGGTTAACTATGAAATTAATTTTTCTTGAAAAAACTTTATAAGCCATACACAAGTGACATATCTTCTGTTAGACATGTTCCTAAGAAGCATTATTATTCTCAAGAGAGATAAAAAGTTTTTAGAAAAGCATCTTTTAAGACTACTGATTTAAATATTCAGAAGTGCAAATACATTACAATGAGAGAAAAGGAGCACACCAAAACAACATCTAGCTGAACATATCACACAACCGTATTTAAAATTCACTCTATAAATCATAGGCTTCCCCTTTTCTGTAACAGGTGTCATTATCAGCTGACTGACTGTGCTCATCAGTCACTCTTACTAGCTCAAGTTCTCTTGATAAGAAAAGGATAGCTGATAGTCTGGAATTCCCATTTAAAGGGCCCACGGGTCCACAAGCAAGGTCTTACTGTTGTTTTTTAGTTGGAAGCTCACTCTGTCCAGATGCTGAGAGAATGAACATCTACGAGTTCTCAGAAACTTACCATAGGAAATGTCTGAAGCAGAGTCTGTGTCTGTCTCTGAAGACAGAGGTTGGCAGAGTTTTTAAATATAAAAAAAATATGGGAAGTTTTGTAACTTCCTTTCTGTTACTGTTAAGGGGGAAAAAAAGACAGCAGAGAAAATAATTTCCTCCTTTGGTTAGGATGAGATATCCCTTCTTTTCCTTTATCTCCTTAGAAGAAGGAAAAGCTGCAAAGTAAATGATTCACTTTATGATAAAGTAAATTGTACTTGGCAATTCCAATGTTAAGAGAAGACAACGGTCTCTACTGATGAATTTTAATTTAAAAATATCTACATTAAATACAGGATCAAGGCTAGGAGCTTCTTTCAGGATAACTCTTGTACTGAACTAGTATACTAAATAAGGTTCAAGTACACCTTCAAAGGATTGAGGAAGGAGTATATGCAGTAATTAACATGTTAAAGTGAAAAGGAAAAAAAGAGGTAGCGGGAGAAGGGAGGCTCTCTGTATTCTTCCCAGGTGACACACCCTTGTTTCCAGAGCTTGTACGCACCTTTCTTTGCCCTCAGTATGCCCAGCAGGTCCTTGCTGAGCCATGCCCATTTCCTATCTCCTTTGCCTGGTTTTTTATTCAGAGGGATGGAGAGCTCTTGTGAACTCAGAAAGGCATCCCTGAAGAGTAACTAGCTCTCCTCAACATCTTTGTCTTTAAGGACAGCATCCCAACAATTGGCCAACAATTCTTTCAACAGCTTAAAGTTCACTCTTCCAAAGTTCAGGGTTCTGACCCCACTCTTCACCAGACCCACATTCCTCAAAATCACGAATTCAACCAGGGCACGGTCCCTGCAGCCCAGGCTGCCTCCATCCTTAACTCCTTTAATGATCTCCTCCGCATTGGTGAGCAACGATTAGAGGATTAGGGGACACTAATCTGATTAGAGGACATTATTCCCCCAGAAGCTTCATCAGAGCTTCAAACAGTGGGATCAATTCTTTCTTCAGTATCTTGAGAAAAACTTCTGTTGTTTCCATTTTAAGAGCTTCCAGCATTAGCAGTATTAGTAGTATAGTTTACTAGATGTCATCTTCTATATGTTACTCTGAAATTATCCAATTATTTCATTAAGAAACTCTCCTAATTTTGTGTTAGCTTTACAGTATTAATTCTGCGCCAAGGTGACCAAGAAATAATAACCACCCTTGATATCAAGTGTCGGAGAATCCCCAGGCTTTATGTTTTTATTTCTATTTCTAACTAAATTGTAGTAATTTCCATTTTCATGCACTAATTTTCTCATCTCTCATGAAGATTAACACAATAAAATAATGGCTGAATCACCACCTAAAAATTTCTATCAATGAATATACGTTTCAAAGCTGTTGTATCATTACCAGCATTTATGCTCAAAGAGACCAGACGATTAACAGCCTAGTAGATGAACATTCCCTGAGGCATAAATTGCAATTGAACACCTCTCATTAACTTTCAAGCTTCTAATTATGATGGATATATGTTCCAATGAAGTGTAAAGAACATTGCTGCTTCTTCAGTGCTGCTATTACTAATTGGATACACATTACTAACATTCCAATTAAGCAAAACCTCTAATCCTGTGTTTAAATCCTTTCAATTTAAGAATGCTTTTAATATTAAGAAAATGGTCTGCTTCACTGATTCCTGATAGTCTAATTGAAATAGTATGATATTATCCCCAATATTAAAAATGATATTTTGTTTCTATAATTCCATTGCTCTTAATTTTCAACACATGACATAATAACATTTATAGAATAATAATCTTTTTATTCTTTTAGGTAATGCAAAGTGAGAACGCCATTGGATACTACATTGATGTTGAAAGAATACCCAACAGTTGCTGGGATTCACCAAATCGCATCATTCTAAAGGACAGAAAGGTTCTTCTAAATATCTCTATGGCTTACTATAGGATTCATATTTCTGCCTATAACAAAGCTGGACAATCTCCACAAACCATCTACACCGTCCCAGATTTCTCTGCAACAGGTACTTATCATTTATTGATCTGACTGGTGGAAAAGTTTTATAAGCAATCTCTAGACTAGCTTTTTGGCAGTCTGAAGGGAGCCTACAGAAAAGCTGGGGAGAGACTTTTTTATCAGGACGTGTTGCAACAGGATGAGGGGAAATGGCTTTAAACCAGAAGAGAGTAGATTTAGACTAAATATCAGGAAGGAATTCTTTCCTGTGAAGGTGCTGAAACTCTGGAACAGGTTTCCCAGTGAGGCTGTGGATGCCCCCTCCCTGGAAGCATTCAAGGGCAGGCTGGATGGGGCTTTGAGCAACCTGGTCTAGAGGGAGGTGTCCCTGCCTACAGCAGGGGTTTGGAATTAGGTGATCTTAAAGGTCCCTTCCAACCCAAACCATTCTATGATTCCATGATTCTGATTATTTCTTAAGAAAGGATTTTGCTGGAAATTAACCAACAGACCAAGCAATTAAACATTTCTTGTACCACTTTTCTCAAGTTAGAGAAATAGCAATATGTTAGATCTATCTAGAAAGGCTTATAATGTGTACTCAAAATTAAGAAGATTCCAGCCTTTTAAACAAAGATGTCAGAATTATGTGCAAATGAAAGCTTTTGGAGTTAACTAACTGGTAAGACACAGATTTATCCCTGCTGGTACATGAAAGAAAGAATAAGTAGGATGTGTACATCCTATTCCAATGAAGATGTAAGCTTTCTGATATCCGAAACTACAGGATTTTTAATTTTGACTATTATACAATGATCTTATTATAGTATAAGCTAGTTTTATTTATTATAATCTTGAGCTACAGCAACTTAAATACAAGATTCTCACTTTCCTTGGGAATGCCTTTTGTGTTTTTTTTTTTAAATCAAGCTATAGCATTCACAAATGTTGCAAGGATCAAACAGCTGCAAACAATGACTTTTCCAGAATTTTCTAATGCGCCTCTCATTCTGTTCTCCTTTGCCTGCAAATTCCTAGTAGTTTCTTTTTGCTGCTTGCATTTGATTGCTTTAGCTCTTTTCTAATACAATACTATCTCTCCAAGACATTCTTCATCTAAGAAGCACATATTTATTAAATATCAGCCTGTCTTTCATGGCTTTCTCCAGACATCTGTTTTAGATTTGGTTTCACATACAGGCGGGCTCACTATACCTGTGGTGAATTACTGGGAAAATATTACAGTAAGTTTGTTCCCAGGACAAATTCCTTCTCAGCATGCACAACTCTTGTGAAAATGTACAGACTTTTTTTTTTTAAAATTCTACTCTATTACAATGGTTTTCAGAATAAATGAAATACAGAAGTTTGTCTGTCATAAGATTCAGTTCTTACCCCGCATGACAGGGTGTTTTTCTTCTATGTAAGTTTCAGTTAAGAAGTCTTCTCTAGTTTAATAATCTGTCTCAAAAAACAACAGAATTTTTAAATAATTTTGCCTTTTCTGCAAGAATGAAACTAAATTACACAGCTACAAAAAGTAATTAGCCCCTTCTCCTCCTCCAGATAAGAGTGATCACACAGTTGTTCTGCCTATAGCAGTTAATAGCAGTTCACAGGAGATTGTTTAGCAGTGTTAGCCGTCCCCTGCCTGAGGCATGGAGCAGCCATTTCCCCTTTAAGAAATTAAAGGTCCTGAACAGCAGTTAACACTGGCGGTCCCAGAGTCTACTGCAGAGTGCTAGTTGCTAAATTTCCTTTAATGACATAAAAGAGTAGGTATTACTGTGTGGTCATCAACATGATAACTACTTAATGAAGAATCTTCAGATGAATCAGAGAAAAAGACAGAAAAACACTGATGGGGAAGGGACAGTCTGCCTTCTTGTTCATTCATATCTAATGGTATATTTGTTTACAGATTTGCCTGGCCAAATTAATGTTAAGCCTCACGGAACTAATGCGGTTGTCACCTGGAATCCAGAATACAGTCCAAAATGTTTTGTGGTTGACTGGGGCACTCGTAAAGAGGATATGCGCATGAAAATAGTAGCTACAGCTGCTGGAAATTTCACGTTAGGTAAAAGCAACAGCCACATCTCATGCAGGCACCATTTCACTTACTGGTTATTTTTGGCTGGGGAGGGAAGGATTTTCATACTGTTTTTAAGAGCAAACCAAGGATCCAGCTAAGTGTACCCTATCCAACAATAAGATAACATCTACTTTTAAGAAACACCAAAGCAGGGAAAATAAAGATCCTTCAGCAGGATTCTTCTAGTCACATCTGGGCAAGAAATGTAGCTAAACTGCAGTTGCTGGCAAGAGGTCTCTCCTTTCCCAAATTCAGGCAGGCCTATACACTACTTTTTGGCTAACACAGTGGCATAGGAACAAATAAAAGTATTTCTTGTCCCTAATTTCAAATATAATCTTCTCTGCTGCATACTTTCCCCTGTATTATTTTTTGTCCCCACAGCTGTGCTGTCAAAGCACAAACTCTCAACTCCTGTACCTACAAATCCGGGTATGAAGAGTTGCCGGAGGAGATCAGTTTACAGAACGGTCATCCAAAACCTCTATTGAAATCACATAAGTGACTCTTGCAGACACCATTCTGAACTGTCTTTTATGTATAGTATAGAACACTTAAGTTCAGATTTATGTAAATAGGTGCAGCGTTTTCCTCAGTCCTGCAATATCTGCGCTGTCACATTACATCTACTGTTCTGCATGTTTTTAAATATGCTGGCTGGGGGAAACATTGTTCATTTGAACTAAGATGAGTAAACTTACTTTTGTTCACTGCTTTTTGTACAGCAGTTCAAGCTTCCCAGAGGTGGATTTTGGGAAAACATGGCATCTTTTAAAAACAAACCAGAGCTACACCTTGTTCTGCTTTTGAAATAGTTTCTGTAAAGTACTGAAGGTCAGTGAGAAAGGATTCATACCTTTTATGCTCAGTGTAAAGGACTATATCTTTAAGCTATGCTTTGAGGCACAGGAATTTATACGATCTATGCAAAAAAACCTGTAAGGTTGTTGTCCCTCTTCCTCTTCCTCCTCCTTTTCAATGATAACTGAATGTAAACACTGAAATACGTCTGTTTGTTTTCCAGACAATATTAATCCATATAAGTTG